TCATAATTATCTGTGTTTGTACAGCCTCTTTTGATCTTGGGAAAACTACCTTATGTTATTCTTTTTTTTGCTTCAAACACTGAGCTCTGTGCTGGAAATATATCATAGGGACATAATTAATGTTAATTAATTAAATAAATAAATGGCATATGATGTGTCCAATTTGCTATGAGAACTCCAAGGAGGGAGGGATGATGTTTTACACAGAACAGAAGAAAAGAAAGGATAAAAAGAAACAAAAGAAGTTATTAATGGCAAAGACTGTTTACAATCCCAGGGTGCATTCTCATTTTCTTCCTTCTATCTTCCTGGAATAGGGATGAAATGGCTGGAACTCAAGTGGCTTTCATAGATCAGTGGGAAACAGAAACGTGGGTCCCAGATAACACGATGAACTTTCTGGAACACCCTCACAACTTCTACCCCCATATATACATTCTTCAAAAAAGGAAAATGACTCCTATCTTATTTGAACTACTGTTACTTATTTTTTTTTTAGTTATAGGTGGACACAATATCTTTATTTTATATTTATGTGGTGCTGAGGATCAAACCCAGTGCCTCATGCATGCTAGGCGAGTGCTCTACCACTGAGCCACATCCCCAGCCCAACTACTGTTACTTTTAAGTTTATACCACTGAATCTGAAGCGAATCCTAATTTATATATATGATGGTGAATGTGCAGAAGCGCAGTTTTAATGGAGAGAAAGGATCTGGTTAGCCTGGAGAGTAAAGCATATTAGGCTTGAGGACATTGACATATTTTAGGAAAAAATTAACAGAAGCAGCCTTGCTGGCTTGGAATATTTATTCTAGTAAGTGTTTGAGGAGATTACAAAGCCAGCAAGTATCCTTCCTGTAAGCTCTTAGAGTGAAACAGGGAGGTCAGAACTACCACGGTGGCCAGGGGTGGGGCAGCGTGCAGAGCAGAGTTATGCTCAGGGACTCTGGACTAGAAAGTTAATTCTAGAAGGGCCTGGCTTCACTCAAACAGAAGTGAAGTCACAGTCACAGAATGTATCTATCTCAGCATAACTTTGGATGTTGCAAGGGTGAAATCTGTCCCTCTGTACTTCTGCTAGTTCTTTCAAGAGAGTCCAAGTTCACACTGTACAAGGCTCGGCCAGATCTAAGATAGAGGCAGAAGGAAGAAAGAGAAAAGGGGGGAAAGAACAGAAAATAAGGAAGGGAAGGAAGTACATGCAGAAGGACAAGGCCTGAGAGATAGAGGATGAGGGGAGACCGAGGTGAACATTGTAGGACACAGTAGAGAAGGACAAGAATCCACAGCAGAGAAGAAGACGTGAGGCACAGGCAGTGAGGACACTCGGGTTGTTTTAAAATCAGCCTCACTTGCTGCATCTTGCTGCCTCATCTGCATCCACCCCTTCCACTTTTCTCTGAAGCACTGCAGCCATCCCAGCACCCCAGAAATTTCTTTTCTCTTCCCGGTAAATCAAGGACACTAACCAACAGAGGGCACTTTACAGATTTCTGCACTAATGCTAAACAAGTAATGAGCAAACCGTGCTTATGATCACTTGTCTGTCTTCCTGGCTCCTCTGAGCAGATGCTGGTTCTACTAAGGAAGCCAATTGCTTTCTAGCTCAGGTATTAACAATAGTTCACGCCTTGCTAACCATGGAATTAATTTTCATCCCAGTTCCACAGGAAAAGGTATGGTTATTAGTTTCATTTTGCAGAAGGAAAGGCTGAGACTCAGAGATATGAAGCACCTTGCCTGAGGCCCCAGAGCTGCCTAGTGGTGGAGTAGCTACACAGTTGCTGAATTCAAACTTATTTATGCCTTGTTAGTTCCAAAGCCTACACCTCTGGTCTCTAGGCTTCACTCCCTGGTGGAACAAAGTGCTTCAGTTTCCTGGTTGAGATTAGAAAATGGTATCTACAGTATACTTGATCCATGGGCTTTTCCTCCCTTAAACTCATGTTCAATGGGTCACTGTTCTTCTGGGGTCCCCTGGAAAAGTGAAGACGGTTTCATAAATTTCTCCATAATTAGGTCTTTAGGCAACGTGAGCTGGCTTTGTTTTCAGATGGCTTTAACTCCTGCCTGATGACAACTTTTGGTGACATGGGGAGATTTTGCAAAAATCATAGACCAGAAACCAACCACATCACCTAAAGACTCTTAATTAGCTTCCAAGATTCCTTTTCAAAGGCAATGTTTTAATCCCAGAGGTCTTGTTTCACTTTAAGACACCTCTTTCTTTTGGGTGGTTTCTCTCTCACACCATTCTCCACAATCCCTCACTCTTAGAATCAGAAAGTTTTTTCTAATTCTATCCATCTAGTAATTAGGCTTGCTTGTCAACATTGGAACACCTAACAGAATGTGGATGGGAGAGAAAGGGTAGAAAAAGGCTAATGTGATTTTTCTTTTAAATGAGGTAACTGCAAAAACTGAACTAATATCTCCAGAGTGTTCTTTACAAATTATCTCAGGACATTTGGCCTATAGATAGGGTGGGCCCATTGATAAGAACAAGTTTATTCTCCTTAAAAATCAATGGAGCAAGAACTTGTATTAGTCATGATGTTAAAAATCCCAATACTATTTGTTGGAAGAAAGAGAGGAAAAAAGGGGGAAGAAGATGGTAGATTCAAAATGCCTATTGCTTCACTTAATAAAAACTTTTTTTTAAATTATTAGAGCTTTATAGTTACACAGAGCATTTAGGTTCATCCCAACAAACTCATACATGCCTGGAATTCAATTTCAGTTTGTGATCCTCCTTTTCCCTCCATCCTCCCTCCTCTCTCCCATTCTCCTTCCTCTACTAGAGTTCCTGTGGCTCGGCTATTAATTTATATTTGATTGGTTCTTTTTTTTTTAAGAGAGACAGAGAGAGAGAGAGGGAGAATTTTAATATTTTTATTTTTTAGTTTTCGGCAGACACAACATCTTTGTTTGTATGTGGTACTGAGGATCGAACCCGGGCCGCACACATGCCAGACGAGCGGGCTACCGCTTGAGCCACATCCCCAGCCCTCTTTATGTAATCTTATCCTTCCCTTTCCCTTTCCTTTATTTCACTCTAGCTTCTGCATAAGAGAGAAAATATTCAAACTTTGAGTTTCTGAGTTTGGCTGATTTCACTTAGCATGATATTCTCCATTTCCATCCATTTGCCAGCAAATTTCATTCTCTTCTTTGGATGAATAGAACTCCCTCATATATATATACACCATAAATTCTTAATTTTTTCATCTATTGACACGCATCTGGGTCGATTCCAACACTTAGCTATTATGAATTGTGCTGCGTCACTACAGTATGTCGTTTTTTTAGATTTGGTGAAATCACTAACTAAAACCTTTATCATCTAACACTCCTCTTCTAATCTGACCTTTGGCCCTGCCTCCAGCTCTACTGACCTACCCCATAAACACACAGAAGTCCTCCTGTTCCCAGATCTTTTACCTGCAATGCGCTCTGCCTGAAATACTCATTCCCTGGTGTTTGCTTGCCTTACTCCTATTTCCTCCCAGTTGCTGCTCAAATGTCACCCTGAGAGGCCAAAATGTCCATCCCATCTCAAGTATCAGCTTCTGCCCATCTCCATACCCTCCCTTTGCTTTGTTTTCATACTAGCACCCATCACTGCCTAACATCCTACATTTCTATTTATTTATTTGCTGTGGTCTGTTTCCCCCATGCAGCGTAAACTCCATGCTTACAGGAACTTTGTTGTTTCCAGTGGACTTGCTGTTTCCCACAAATGTGAACATGAGCTGGCATAATGTAGGCCCTTAGAAATAAAGCAGATTAAATAGTCACTCTTTATAAAGTGTATTGTCCCCTTTTAGGAGAGGGGCTGAGCCTCTGAAAGTCCTGGTTGGATCAATGAGAGAGCTGGAATTGAATCCTTGTTTGAGTAAATACCATCACTACCACCAACATGATTGTGTCTACTCTACCATTCTGTCATAAAAAAGGGGAAAAAATGACATGTTGTCAATCTACCCCATTATCCTAACTCTCTCATATTAGTCATGTGAGGGATCCTAAAGGTCCCTCATTACAGTTTAGGAAAAAACAGCTTATTTTATCTGCTATGGAACCTAGGCAACAGGGGCAGAAGTTTTTATGGGGCTTAAAACATGTGTAATTTGGGGGATCCTCTTTAAGAAAATATAATACAAAGCCAGCCACAAATACAAAACCCCTCAACCTTCCTGCCTTGGTTTCCCCCTTCAAAGTGTGTCAGACTGTGCTGAGAAAACATTCAGAGCAAGTAGTCAATGCCAAGTCCAAGGAATGTTTCAAAGGATGCTCACAGGGCTCTGTCATACCTGAATGACTCAAACCCTGCCTGGATCAGTCCCAGAATCAGAACAACCCCACAGGGCCTCAGGGCAAAGGGCCCTACGAGGACATTGGTAGTCTCCAGAGTCTGGCTTTGCCAAACTCTGCCAGGAACTTGCTGTGACTCCGGAAGGTCGTAATTTCTTCATCTGAGATACGATGGGGATGGCTTTAAATTAGTTCATCCCTGTGGTCTGACTTGAAATGCTTTCTGCTCAGACACGCTGAGAATTAAGTCTCCTCCATCTACTTAGACTGTTTTCAATCTATTGGAAGACATTCCTTCTATCAGCTGAGGTTTCCAGGAACAGAAGATTTGGAAGTGTTGGCCTTGAACTCTTTTCTCCTTGTTTGAGGAGGGAATGGGGTTAGTAATCAGATTGTGAGCCTTGAAAATAAAGGGAATTGGCACATCCGGAGAGTAAAGGCTAAAAGACAGGGCAGTCCTTGAAAGGCTTCCTTTTTCTGCCCCCATGTGGAGGTGGGGACCAGAATGGCCGGCCCGCGCATCGTGCCCTAAGGGACCAGGGACATGTGCCAGGAGCCACTGCAGCCCGGTAGACGCGCTCACCTTGCGGCCGTTCACGTAGAAGATCAGCTCGGGGGCCGAGGCCATGGTGGCAGCCGTGCGGTCCCAGTCCGGGTTTGCAGAGGACGGCGGATCCCGGAAGCGCGGCAGCTGGACCGGGTGGTACAGACCGCCAAGCCAGACGGGTTTTAACGGAGCCGAAGGTCCACCAGCCCTCCGGACCCGGGAAGTGCTGCTGAGGTCCTGGGCGCAGAGCTTTAGCTGGGAAGCCACTCGGGTTAGCACGTTTGTGGGCGTCACCGGCGCTGTGTGGGCGGAGGCCTTTGGCCCAGAGGGGACTGACCCTTTCAGGCCCTCGGGGGTGGTGCTAGGCGTCTGTGTCGCTCCCTCGGCAGCCACTGTGGGTCCAGCGACATCGCCTTGGTCGTTTTAGGGTGATATTTTAGGTGCTTTCCCACTAATTTGAAGTTCTCCCCTCCCAGATCGCCTGCTGCCGTCTGGTACTCTTAATGGTCAACAATCTCACATTGATTATTCAGATCTGCAAGAAAGCAACGTGATGTTTTTTTGTTTTTGTTTTGTTTATTTGTTTATTTCAGGTACCGGGATTGAACACAGGGACACTTACCAGCCCTTGGTATCGCAAAATTTTAAGTTGCTTAGGGCCTCACTAAATTGCTGAGGCTGGCCTTGAACTTGCGATCCTTCTATCTCAGGCTCTGGAGTCACTGGGATTGCAGGAGTGCGTCACCACGCCTGGCAACAACGGATGGTTTTTACAACTTTACCTTCTGGCTTTACAAATAATTATACAAATTTATGATTTTTAAGCCAAGAGCTACTTTGATATGAACTTTTAAGAAAAAGTTTTATCATAATTGACAAGTTATCCAGTAACTAATCATAAAATTTCCCAGACAAATGACAACAGATGTAAGACATACTGGAAAAATTCAACGACTTGGAATTGAAAAGTACGAAAATTAAAAATCATCCAAAAACGAATGCTGAGAATCTACCAATGTTAACTTTTTGGCTCTGTTTTGCATTTTTAAAATCCACATTAAAACTTACTAAAACTCAAATAGGATCAAACTCATTATTTCCCAGACTTCTTTTTACTTAACATACTTAGAACATTTTCCTATATGGTTTTATTTATCTAAACACACACAAAAAATATTGTGAAAAATTTTTAAATCTGTATGTCGAAGAGAAGTGTATAAGTAGCATCTCCCTCCCTCTGGCTGAGCTGTAGCAATGGTCAACACTTCATTTCTTTCTACAATTTTTAAAACCAATCCCAAACACATCTTTTTACTGCGAAATACTTCAGGATACATTACACACACACACACACACACACACACACACACACAAAAGTTTTCTTATTTAGGCATGATACCATTCCCCATGTCTAAAGAAAGTATTTTTACATTTGATTTCTTTGAATCAAGCAAAAGATACTCAATGTATTTGCTTGTGGTCTCTTAATCTAAAACAATCTCTTCACTCCTCCCCTTTTCATAGTATTTTTTTGATTGACCTATAATAATTGTACATACATCCAATGTGATGTTTTGATTTACTTATTCATTGTGTATCAGTCAAATTAGGGCAATTAGCATATGTATCACTTTAAATGTATCATTATGGTAAACACATTTAAAATCCTTTCTTCACACTATTTTGAGATATACAATACAATATATTATTCTCAAGTGTATTTACCCTAGAAAACCAGAACTTACTCGTCTTTTCTACCTGTAACAATTTGCTAGAGGACCAGCCTTTCCCCATAGTGGCCTTCAAGTCTCCTGTCTGATTATCCCATAGAAATGATCCATATTTTAAATATAACTGATTACTTCTTCCTGGAGTTATTTGTTCTTCCATACATACTACTTATTTTCTATACACTGGATAATAGACCTAAAGCCTTGATTTTATTTGGGTTCAATTTTTTTTTTTTTTTGTGTGTGTGTGTGTGTGTATGTCAAGAATACTTCATAGGGGGCTGGGATTGTGGCTCAGCGGTAGAGCACTCGCCTAGCACAGGCAGGACCTGGATTCGATTCTCAGCACCACATAAAAATAAAGGCATTGTGTTGTGTCCATCTACACCTAAAAAATAAATATTCAAAAAAGAATACTTCATAGGTATATTGCAGCACACCAGGAGGTGTATGAAGTCTGATTATCTCATTCTTAATGACACTAATATTTATCAATGAGTTTAATAAGATATCTCTGTCTTGATAATGATTTTCTCTTCAACATTTCACTGGTTTCACATCCTTCGTTGAGTATTGCCAGTTGTTATTATGAGGCAGTTGCAATTTTTCTAGTTCTAGCATTCCTTCTGTATTCATCAGCTGGAATTCTTTTTTTTTTTTGACAGGGAATACTTTATTTAAAACTCATCAGAGAAATGGACAGCCTGGGTCTGTGACAAAGCATTCATGTTTTAAAGCATGGGTCAGTAATTATATATGAGAGCATACAATTCTACATAGAGATTAATTGATCAGACCAAAACTTTTCAATGTTCAAATCAGAATAAGCTTCCCTGTAAAAGCAGCACCTTTGTGACATTTTAACTTTAGTATTCCTTTCCTTATTCCTCACCCTCTCCTTCAACAGAATCTACACCAACCTCCTCATAATCTTTCTCTAGGGAAGCCATGTCCTCATGAGCCTCAGAAAACTCTCCTTTCTCCACCCTCTCACCTACGTACCAGTGAACAAAGGCATGCTTGAGATCAAACTTGAGATCTAGGCGACCCCAGGCCTCAGCAATGGCTGTGGTGTTACTCAACATGCACACAGCGCGCTGTACCTTGGCCAGGTCTCCATCAGGCACCACAGTGGGAGGCTGGTAATTAATGCCAACTTTGAAGCCAGTGGGGCATCAATCCATAAACTGGATAGTACGCTTGGTCTTGATGGTGGCAATGGCAGCATTGACATCTTTGGGGACCACGTCACCATGGTACAACAGGCAGCAAGCCATGTATTTACCATGGTGGGGGTCACATTTTACCATCTGGTTGGCTGGTTCGAAGCAAGCATTGGTGATCTCTGCTACAGAAAGCTGTTTATGGTAGGCTTTCTCAGCAGAGATGACAGGAGCATATGTGGCCAGAAGGAAGTGGATGTGGGGATAGGGCACCAGGTTGGTCTGAAATTCTGTCGGGTCAACGTTCAGGTCTCCATCAAATCTGAGGGAAGCAGTGATGGATGACACAATTTGACCTATCAGCCTATTCAGGTAAGTGTAGGTTGGGTGTTCAATGTCAAGGTTTCTGTGACAGATATCATAGATGGCCTCATTATCTACCATGAAGGCACAGAGTGCTCCAGGGTAGTGTAGGTGGTGAGGATGGAGTTGTAGGGCTCAACTATAGCTGTGGAAACCTGGGAGGCTGAGTAAATGGCGAACTCCAGCTTGGACTTCTTGTAATCAACAGAGAGATGTTCCATCAGCAGAGAGGTGAACCCAGAACCAGTTCCCCTACAAAAGCTGTGGAAAACCAAGAAGCCCTGAAGACTTGCGCACTGCTCAGCCACCTTACGAACTCGGTCCAAGACAAGGCCAATGATCTCCTTGCCAATGGTGTAGTGACCTAGGGCGTAGTTATTGGCAGTATCTTCCTTGTCGATGATGAGCTACTCAGGGTGAAAGAGGTGAGGGTAGGTCCACCGTGGATTCTAGGTCTACAAACACTGCCCTGAGGACATTCTCGCCAGTGCCTATCTTGCTAAAGAAGGTGTTGAAGGAGTCATCTCCTCCCCCCTCCACCCTGTAGTTTTGTCACTTGGCCATTAGGCTGGATGCCATGTTCCAGGCAGTAGAGCTCCCAGCAGGCATTGTCAATCTGGACACCAGCTTGGCCAAAGTGGATGGAGATGGACTTACACATGGTTGCTGCTTTCTGGCTGCAGAGCAAATGACGGAGAGGAGAGGAGAGAAGAAGTTGTTGCTTCGTAGACTACAACTCTTAGGCGGTTGATGTAAGAGAACCTGCCATCAGCAGGGATTCTTTTGAATAGAATTCCCTATCCTTTCCTAGAACTATTGACAATGCACAAATTAAATTCATACCAGAAAGACAAATTTATATAACTTTTCCTTAAATTATAAATTTTCAGAGAATCAGTTAGCATCCTATTAACCTACAGTAGTATCCAAAGTGTTTTATCTCTCTTCCCCTTTTATCATATCAATTTATGATTTTTCCCATAGCCAGTGTTTTAATCAATCATGGTTATTATTCCTAATAATGCTGTGTGTCCCATCTTTAGCCAATGGACGTATCTTCAAACTACAATTTGTTCTTTTGATGTGATTGCATGAATTTTTGAAAATCTTCTTGCTTTCTGGCATAACAAAATGTCCCTTCTCTATATCCTGTCCCAGACTTAAAATCAGACAATACTTGAAAGAGCCCTGGTTTCTTTGAATGGGTAATAATATTGAGAAACCACAATCTGGGAGAGGTGCTCATTGCCAATGAGTTGCCATTGTTTCTAGGCATTTTCAATGGATAGTGCTAGAAAATATAAAAAGTAGTAAAAGGGGCAAAAAAAAAGTATAAGTTCACATTGATATATCTAATTAAAATTCAAAATTGCAAAGGTTTAAAAAAATCTTGGATATGCTTTGAATATAGTTTGTCTCTACAAAAATTATGTTGAGGCAGCAGCGTTGGGAGGCAGGGCCTGGTAAGAGGTGTTTTGTTTAAGGGATAGAGCTTTCATGAATGAGTTAATGTCTTTCTCACATGAATTCTTGCTCAGGACTAAATTAGTTACCACAGGCAGCCCCTCCTGATTTGCCTCTTCAGCAAATACTCACTTCCCTTTCCATTTTCTGTGGTGAGTTGAAACAGCTCAAGGTCCTCTCATAAATCAAGTAGGTGCTAGCATCATGCTCTTGGACTTCCAGAATCACGAGCCCAAACAAAACTTTTTCCTTTAGAAATTACCTAGTCTCAGGTATTCTGTTATAGTAACAGAAAACAGACTGATTTACAATCATAACCCTATTCTCTTGTGTCAATAATCTTGGTTCTAAAATCTTAATAGTTTATCCTGTTCACAGATATATTTCAAAATAAGAACATTAATATTATGATAGCAATAAGACTAGTGAGTGAAAGTTTTAAGTTTTCTTTAAAGTTCTTTTTTTCCTTAGAGAATACCCTACAGAGGATGTAGATTCGAAATATTTTTTCCAAAGTTAGTTATCTATCTCAGTTTTCTGTTATGAACTTGATAGGAAATTTTCATTTCAATCAGCTTTCAAATAAACTATCCCCAGTTGATGGTTACTAGATTGTTCTTTTTTGTTTGTAATTACAAATCTTGCCATAATGATATTTTAACATTTTTGCAAGGGATTTTTGGTGTACTTTAGAAAAAGAGTGATTTCAGAGTCAATTATATAAAATTTTGTTGGATATTGTCAAAATCTTTTCTATAGGCTTATACAATTTTTCATTTTTCTAGCAATGCATAAGAACCAACAAGTGTAACAAAGGGAAGTTGGGTTATTAGAACCTAGAAACTTTGAAGGAGACCTCTAAGGGAGGGCACTGCTCAGCAGGGTAGGATTGAGATCTCTAAGGAGCAGGTAAAGCAAGGATGTTGCTGATACCTCAGGAACTAAAGGAGTCTTCCTTAAAAGGCAAGACTGAAGCCTCTGATGAAGGGACAAAACCCAACTAATGCTAGTATCTCCAACTGGTGACTGGAACTGTTGCCGTTGGATTAGATGCCATTACTGAGATGATGCAGACAGAAAAGCAAAGCCACAGGAAGGAGGAGATTAAATTCCTTTTCCTTCTTTCCATTTTTTTCCATCTCTTTCTAGTGATCCCATTGGCAGAGGTTAAAAAGAAGTCAGCTAGTAAAGCAGAAACAATACTTTCAGAGTTCCAATGTCATATAGTAAATCATGGAGTCAGGCATAGAGTTGACACCATAACTGGCATATATTAAAAGGTGAGATTCATTTCATGAAAACAAGATTTCAGTATCATCAGATCTGTGAATATAGTTCATCTCATTAACACATTTAAGG